GATGAATGTAAACTAACTGACGCCAACATTATACTTAACTATCCGAGCAGTGTGCGCGGCACACTGTGTGAATGCTTGAGGATATTTTTTTCTCTAGTATCATGTTATTCACTCAGTTCTGTCATATTGTAAATCAAGAACAAAACAAATTACATGCTACCTGCAGTTGACACAAAGCACACAGTATGTACATAAAATGATAGTGTGTTCTCAGATAATTAAGGATAATGTGCCGCTAAAATACCGTGCCTGAGCTAGCCACATATCTTTGACAGAAATGCGTCACCATAGGGGTATTTGCATACACGTGTGTGTACGTCTACCAGTCTACTTGTCTCAGAGTACTTTAGCAAGCCGTTCCCGAGCGGTATATAGCCTTACTTGATTTTCCACGTGGTACCGCATAAGAGTAAATCTTTGTGGGCATAGACCGACGTGAAATAGAGCTGTTGAGCAATCAAGATGAGACTATTCCTCGTTAAGGTACGTAGGCACCCTAACTACTCAGAAAATGTTCATAAATGTCTGGCCTTAACATTTATAATAGTAACATAACGTGAACCATAAAGGCACAACATCTTCGTAAAAATTTCGGCGGTGTTGGGGTGGCTGGAGGGTTGATTGGAATTTTTTGCACTGCTACTGCTACTAACTAATTAATGAAACTGACTGAATAAGCCTGACAAAGATTGAAAATTAACACGTGCACCAAGTTCATGAGACGGTTAAGAAAACATAGCCGTCTCGACCACAGACATCATAAATCTAGTAATAAAATGTGTATCGTCTACCTAAATAAATAATGGATTTTGACGGAAGCCGAGTCAGACAGAACATGAAACACTAATATAAACATCAATTAAAAATTTCTAAATAAATGATTCAGGTTTGGGCAAACTTACCACAGTTTACTACGAAAATATTCAATTACAATTACAACTAAAGCAATACACATGATCATAACAATGTATCACCCCCAGATTTTGGTGGGGTTCGTGTAGCTCAGTCTTTAGTTTTCTATGTTGTGTTTTGTGTACTGTTGATTGTCTGCTGGTCTTTTTTCTTTTTTAGTCATGGCATTGTCAGTTTATTTTCGACTTATGAGTTTGAATGTCCCTTTGATATCTTTCGCCTCTCTTGTATAACAAACGCTAGAGTAAACAAAACTCTGGTTCTCCAAGAAATAACTAAACTATCACTACATAATAAAAACGAAAGGATATGGGGTATCCATCCATGACACAAAATAGGTATGTGCACAGCAAAAAAGAAAACAAGAAAGCAACGGAACAGCGCTTTTATTGCTATTCTTCATCTCAGAGTCACAGTGAGGCCTTCAACACGGAGCAAAAAAAAAAAACAACTCTCACTGCAAGTTTAAGACGGCCTCTACCACCGGTTTGAGCGGAATTCTTTGAAAACTGACGATCATGCCACAACTGTGAAATAAAGAACAAAGCCATGGAGAATATCAACGCGAAATTTTTGAGTTTTATAAAAATTGATAATTACCACGTGGATCACTGTTTACATTTAACTCGGAAGAAATTATTATTCCGAGTATTCTTTATTTTGACATGTTTGATTGGCTAACTTGTTACCTGGATATAGGACGCTCATATATATTTCTTTGTTTCGGGATTCGCGGTACATTTGAAATTTATCGTTGAAATTATTTTCTCTGGCAGAGAAATCAAACATGTACTGTCATAATTTAGCCCGACAATCCTACTGAAGCGTGCAAAAACAATATAAACATTTAGACAACCACGGTCACATCGAGTTACATGTTAGATAACATGACAGGAAAAAACGTATGTAAAAGGCAAATATTTCGGGTAGACGATGTTAGTACACCAGAAACTCGGGCCCCGTCAAAAAGAACATACCGGAAAGTAGTACATATTTAAAACGAAATAGTTTTTAAGCAAAGGTGTCTTTAAAATTGATGATAACTGCCACAAGTCCTAAATTTGAATGAGGAAAATGCGCGGGTGAGAAAGAATTTAATATATTTAATAATTCTCAATTTGATTGATTAATTCAAATTGCAGCAATGATTATTATACAAATAGATTGCCTGGTACGTCAGCAAGAGCCTTATCAGGAAAATCTTATTACCCTGCAAGTAATTGGATAATATGCTGCTTGGATTAAAGATATCGAGAGCGAGGATCAGGTGAAGGTATAGTGGTATGGCGACCATCAAAATATACATGTTTAAGCTTAGATGCTGTATATATCTCATTCAAATAATACAAGTAATAACATATTAAATTTTATTCTGTTTAATTTTTTGAACAAGTGATTCAATCTTATCAAAATCTTTTGCTTTGGTATTCATTCCTGATGTGTGACGAAAAGGTTGTATCTGATTCACTTACCTGGTGAGGGTATGTATGGGAGCATCGACACTATTTTGTCATAATTAGGATTGTGTTTGCCAGGCTGCAACGAGAACCATCTGTCTTTGAATTCATATATATTCACAATGTAAAAACAATTATTAGCAAATGAGATGTTATTTGTATCACATGTATGCTTTTTCTTTGTAGAAATACTGTACTTTTATTTGTGTTGGGCTTAAATCAAATTATATAAGCACCAGAACGTTAATCTGATCACATTCAAAAAACGGCATGTTCTCTGTGCGTTGAAGAACCCTTTCACTAACACTTTGAAAGGATTAAGGATTACCTTGTACAAATAAAATGTCTGCTTCTAGTTATAACACACCCATTTACCCAATGCCAGGCGAAATTTTCCGCAAGTCGCCCCACTAGCAGACGCTTCTTTCTTATTTTTTTTCAATTTTTTCTCGTCTTGTGTTGATTTGCATGTGTATTTTTCTCTTCAGCCAAAAAGTAATTGATAATAAATTCGATTTGTGAAGGATAATTATACCCTACCTTCGTTATAAATGTGGTATTTAAAGGGTCACGTGTCACCTCTTTATGTTATCTGTTTGTTGTTTGTTTTCCGTCTTATTGGTTTATAGCTCATATGTCTTTTTATTCATTTGCTTTAATTTCATGTACACATAACTTTGTGAATTCTGTTTTGATTTTTTTTAGGTAACGAGATGAGTTAAAATGACCTTACATAAATTAGTACTGAAATCACTGCTTGTAATTCTACTGGTCCATCTCCTGTTGTGATAAAATCAAAATGGACCTGAAATACAACATGTACAATGCATAGGTTCAGGTAAAAGTCAACACACCAAGTAAAAGAACATTCACATCTTTAAATGACCTGTACGTTTGTGACCAACATTTGCATAATGTACTAAAAAAAGAATTGGTGAATGTGAATATTTATGAGTCTTGGTTTTTGTTTTGTTTTTGTTTTGTTTTTTAAAGGTGGAGAGGGCTCTCAATTTGTTAAAATTGAGAATGGAAATGGGGAATGTGTCAAAGAGACAACAACCCGACCATAGAACAGACAACAGCAGAAGGTCACCAACAGGTCTTCAATGCAGCGAGAAATTCCCGCACCCGGAGGCGTCCTTCAGCTGGCCCCTAAACAAATATATATACTAGTTCAGTGATAATGAACGCCATACTAAACTCCAAATTGTACACAAGAAACTAAAATTAAAAATAATACAAGACTAACAAAGGCTAGAGGCTCCTGACTTGGGACAGGCGCAAAAATGCGGCGGGGTTAAACATGTTTATGAGATCTCAACCCTCCCCCTATACCTCTAGCCAATGTAGAAAAGTAAACGCATAACAATACGCACATTAAAATTCAGTTCAAGAGAAGTCCGAGTCTGATGTCAGAAGATGTAACCAAAGAAAATAAACAAAATGACAATAATACATAAATAACAACAGACTACTAGCAGTTAACTGACATGCCAGCTCCAGACTTCAATTAAACTGATTGAAAGATTATGTCTTCATCATATGAATATCAGGCACAATCCTTCCCGTTAGGGGTTTAGTATCATACCATCATAACATATATGAGAAGAACATAACACGTGTCATGCCAACAACTGGTTTTTTTAAAATAAATGTGTTTAGTGCCGATGCAAAGACCCTATAAGTGAATCAATATTAACGCCAAAATATGCAATCTTTAATGACCTGACAACAGTATAGTAACTATATCCCTTCTTAATAAGTCTATTTAAAGGTTTTGTTATCTTCAGAGGTGAATACTGACATTTTTGTGCTTTATAAAGAATATTTCCATAAAAAATTGGATGTGAAATACCTGAACGTATAAGAAGTCTGCATGTTGAGCTATATTTACGAATGATGTCCTTATACCGATGATAAAATTTAGTAAATGTTTTGACTAGTTTGTGATATCGAAAAACCTGGTGTAATAATTTTTCAGTAATACATAAATTTCTCTCGTTAAAATCTAAAACATTGTTACATACACGAGCGAATCGTACAAGTTGAGATATATAAACACCGTAAGATGGTGACAAGGGAACGTCACCATCTAAAAATGGATAATTAACGATGGGAAATGAAAAATCATCTCTTTTATCATATATTTTAGTATTAAGCTCAAGATCGAGGAAAGGGCAGTGGTCATTTTTCTCTATTATTTTTTCCCGTTATATTATATTCTTTACTTTTTGACATCCCATGATTTTATATTCTTTTTGTTCTTTTCTCTTTATAGTTTATACTAATAACATTTTGTTTTTCAAATATTCGTCTTGTAGCGTTCCTGTTAAAGGTGTATCAAGAAAAGCGCTTAGTACGCATGAAATTATAAAGTGTAATTTTCATTTGATACTCTTATTTTTTGCCCATTATTCTCTATTATGTTAACCCATCCAGAACCTCATATAAACTGTGAGGATATGTTTAGGTTCATAAATTGATCAGTATATTTATATACATCTCGTCTGGACTACTTAAAAGTGTGTCGTCTAAAATATACAAGGAGAATAATCATAACCAAGTCTACTTACTTCCATGGCATATCGGTGTCCGTTTAATGTGTGCTCTGAACCCCATTGACTATTACTCCCCCAATGGAAATGAAATCCTTTAAGTTGAAGGGGTTCCCGAAGACCTCCTCTTTTAATTAGTGGCTGATGATCAGGAAAGTCTATTATAACTGTACAAACAATAGAATATACTAAAAAGGTTAAAAATTAAGAAAAATAACAAGACAATAAAGAAAAAAGAAAAATATCACCTACAACAAAAGTTTTCTAACTTATTACAAGTATAATTCAAATTCGATAATAATTTTGTGCATATTTAAGATGCAAACTGTCACGAAGAATATTAGCTTACATAAATATTTTTTTTAAAGAATATGTTTACCTGCATGACCATTGTTTCCCATCTCCATTTTTACTCCTTCTGTATTTTCTAGATCCGAGAAGTCAAACGGGACAATTCTGTCGTTTTTTACCACCTCCTTCGTTTTAATATCGACAGGTGACTGCCTTCTACCAATGCACATTTCATTGTTTTCCAAGCAATGCCAAAATGATGGCGCTAGAAAAAAAATAATGACAATAGATCTTTGCAAAAAGGTATTAAAGAAAGACTGATTTTTTTTCCTTTTTTCAATCACGGTTACTGTAATAAGAACCAGTAGCACAAAGTCAATGTTCCCTGTTATTACTTTTGGATTTGGTTATTTTCCTCTTGTTTTTAAATATTGCACATGCAAAAGAAGAGGTGTGATTAACAATTCAATTCAAATCAATTCAAATATTTATTGCCATATAAACTTTAAACATTAAGTTTGTGACAAATACAAAATAAGTAGACAATATGACTAAAATTCACATATATATATATATACGCAATCATTCAATTACAGTAAATAGTCCAGTGTCCCCTGTCCTCAGTTCTAATGACATTTTGATGTAGGACCCAATTTATTTACTTGTGATGGTGTTGATGGATTGAATATAAAAATCCCCCTTTTTTCATCAGACAAATCTTTAAAAGAAAAGTTTAATTCCAAATTGTTAAAAAAGTTTTTTCTCAGTTCCCTATTTAATTTACAATCTAATAAAAAATGTTTTTCATCTTCTAATATGTTACATTTAAGGCATAATCTCTGCTCTCTAAGAATATTAGAATGTCTTTCTTTTTCTATATTTAAATTATGGTCACTAATTCTTAGTTTTGTTATTAATTTTCTGTAAGTAAATTTGATGTTCTCAAATAGTCTTCAAAAATAGATTTTGTTTAAGGTTCTTATATAAATAAGTTAACTTTTTTCATCAATGTTTTGCATCTTATTATGAATAAGATTGTGTTTATTTATAGTCAATGATTTCAGTTTTAGGTTACTAAGTGGTACCATAGACATGTCTTTGTACAACAGAGATGGGGTTCACTTAAACACGAAGGGAGTAGCGAAGCTTTCCATGAATTTGGACATAATCAGAAAGGAGAAACCAAAAAAACAGGACGCTATGGAGAGACCCCCTGTGTATCAGAAATCCAGAAGACAATACCACTCTGAATCGGGATATGACGACTCTAGAAAGCAAACTGGCGAAACTCGTTGTCGGGTGCATCCCCATCTCAGTGACAGCAAACCTTTAAGGTCTCATAGGTTTGGAGACAATTCTTATATGTATAACAACGGTACTTAGTGGTACTTCATGTTGGTATTGTGGTGAGCGGAATCATACTTCCGCTGTATGTCGTCATGGGGCGCCTGTCACTTGTCACAAATGTAACGGTGAAGGCCATAAGGCCAAGTCCTGCATGTATTAGGTTCTTGGCCAAGAAGCGAGCGCCGTAATTGACGATAGCTCTTGTGAAGCAAAGGTCTGTAAGAAAGAAAAGCGTAAACATAAACGTGGAAAAAAGGTAAGTACACGGCAAAATCTATATCTAAAATAGACTTTTTAAACATCCGCGGTGCCACCAGTAAAGTACACGAATTAAACTAGTATCATCTCTCTAATCATAACACTACAAACCAGTAAAAGTCTGAAATGGCCTATATCTGTACTCAACTGTACTGATTTTTACTGGACCAGTCTGAATTGGTCTGAATTTTACTCGACATTACTCGACCCCAGTCTTAACCATACTCGACTGTACTGATTTGTACTTGACCCTTATCTTTGCCATTGAAAATAGTCTGAACTATTACTCGACCAGTCTGAAACAGTCTTAACCCATTCTGGACCTGTACTCGACCTATTTTTTTCAGTCTAAACCATACTCGACCAAAGGTCTGAACAATACTCGACCAGTCTGAACCATACTTGACCAAATAACCTCTACTTTTTCTAAATTTTAACTGTTAAAATAAATTTCTTTTTAACTGACATGACAACAGCCACAATAAAATAAAGATATATTATAAAAACAGATTTTTACATTCTTACATGATTCTCAGATTTATAGAATAGAGATAGTTAAATCAAATTATCTTTAATAATTTAATTATATTAATTTTAAAGTTTTAGAGTTTTGTTAAAAAAAGATTTTCTTTTAACTAAAAACCACACCTATACTGAGAGAAATTAAACCTTATTAAGGTACTTCTTATTTGGCATGTGTTTTTTTTTTTAATTAATTTTCCTAAATTCCTAAATAAAAACTACATAGGTTTCATGGTTACATACAAAAAATGTACAATAGTTATATAATTATCTTTTTAATGAGGTAACAACAGCCAACAAAATCACTGAAATTGTTTAACCTTATTTTAGAAATATATCTATTATTTTATACAAACAAACCAAGTTTGTATTCTGTTGTCTCGTATAGTAATATTTTTCTGTAGTCTCATATTTTTAATTTTTGCTCCAGTCTAATGTTGTATATTTATTGAGTCTCATAAAGTGAAATATTGTTTCTGTACTTTTTGTGTGAGGTTGTCTAATTCTTGTATAGTTGTTAGAGTGGTCTGCAAAACTCCTTGTTTATGCCTCTAGTGTCAGTGATCAAAACATTCCAGGTCACCAGTGGAAGGCTTACTAAATTTCTAGAGACATTTTTATTTACCTTTTCCAAAGATCAAGGTAGGTATATGCAAGCCTTCCATTGATAAGATGAAATGTTTAATGGTCACATCAATCTATATTTAACTGATGTAACTTTTCAGGTAAAATTAAGTTCTGTTTGTATTGATGGGCAAGTCCTGACATCCCACAATTATTTACAGTAAAACTCTTCTAATAGAGCAAATCTCAATTAAAGTCCCGATCTCATCCTTGTAAATGAACAAATACCAACTCCGAAAAACTATACCAAATGTCACAAAAGGGGTATCTGTGTGTAAAACAAAATCATAGTCTCAGCAAAATCATACTGGCTTAAAGCAGAAAAATATTTTAGAATGAATAATAATTTTATTATAAAAAACAATTAATCAATCTGGTTTTGGCCCTAGGGAAACACTCAGCATACAAGACAATTTTTGAGTTCCTGCCTGAGCAAGTCAGCTTGCAACCTCCAGTGTGAGGAAGAACCTGCCTGCCCGACAATACGCCAGCCGGGGAATGTGAAGCGAGGGTTCTCCACTTTGGTGATGAGACTAGGCGTCTCATCTGAGGCCGGGGAATGTGAAGCGAGGGTTCTCCACTTCGGTGATGAGACTAGGCGTCTCATCTGAGGCCGGGGAATGGGAAGCGAGGGTTCTCCACTTCGGTGATGAGACTAGGCGTCTCATCTGAGATCAAACTGGCGCTGGAATAAATTTGATAAAATTTGTCCCCGAAATGCTTGGGGATGAATGAAATTTTAGAAATAACCAGTGATAAAATTCCATCAAGGAATTAAAATTAATTAAAAAAATATATATCACTAGTAAAAGCTGAAAAGTTTCCCTTGTCATGAAACATTATTGAAGGTGTTAGGAAGGTGGATGGTGGGCGGTAAATTAAATAATAGCACTGTAAAACTATATCAACTAGTCAAGACTGCTATGAACCAAGAAAGTGATTATACAAAGACCATGCATATGGCTTTACACACAGATAGGGTACATCAATCATTCAGTTGGAGGAGTCTGACCTCACTGACCTTTAGATAATATACTAATTGTTGTGTAATTAATTTTTTATAAGATCTGGTATCATAATCTGCATTTCCTCACCAACAGAGATTATTTATGACATGTATCTGATTAAGAAAGGATTAGTGTGCCTCCTAGTGAGATTCCAGTTGTAACTTCAAAGTGTCAAATGCCAGGAAAATTAACCTCAAGATATAACAAGTGGTCTGTGTATGTTAATTAAATGTATCCAGAAAGTCAGCATCTTTATTATCACATTAATTATAAAGTGTAAGCTGGAATGGCTGTTTGTATAAACAGTACTTATATTACATATAAGTACAATATATAATTTGGGATATATTATATACAATATAAATCAAAAAGGGATAAAAATTAAAGACGTTAATAAAATAGTTCTTCTGATTAGTGATGAAGTACATGTATAAAGTAATACCTCCTGCTTGGGGCAAACTCATGAAAAAGATCACACCTGGTCAGAGAGTATTAAATTCTAAATAACATTCATTCAAAATTGCAACATCCTGTGAAACTTAATCGCAAGGCCTTTTGAATTCACTAGATAAGTAATACACGAGTTTAAGAAAAATAGGGCTTTCTTTTTACCTGTAAAACACACATATGTACTGAGGTAATTAAACCTTATTAAAGTGCTTCTTGTATGCCATGTCTTTAATTTTGACAAAAATTATTTAAGGAATGACTGTAATATTTTTTCTGTCTATGAAGAAATAACATAAAAAATGTGGTGCACACTGAATAACCCGCGTAGCGGGTTATTTTAAAGTGTGCACCACATTTTTTATGTTATTTCAATAGACAGAAAAAATATTACAGTCATTTCTTATAATTTAATTCTAAAGTCCATTTTAAACCGGAGTAAACCATGAAAAAACGTTGATGACGTCGAGGTCACATGACAAAATTATGTCTATGAGCTGATAAACAAAACAACGTCAGCCAATCATAAGACGCGTTACATCCAAAATTAAATTATTTAAATTTAATTGAAATAAATTTTTACTGTAACTTTGGAACACATTTCCATTTTTAAAAGTTTATCACAGGACTACTATGGAAGTTCTATTATCATGATTATATTAAATTCTTGGTTTAACAAAACAAAGGTGTCATTTTTTAAATTTATTAAAATTGCTTTATATGCTATTTTATATATATTTTAATAAAAAAAATGTTCACTGCATTATTAACTGAACTCAAGTGACACCATAAATCTATACGAGGCTTAAGTTAATGGTGAAAATTGTCCAGTAACCATAAAATATATCTGAAACATTAAAAAAATTTTGAATAACATTGAAAATATTAGTCACAATTCAGTTTTGAGATTATTTGATCAGCTTGTTTTATTTTTATTTTAAAGGTGATATATATGTATGTATATAAGATTAGTGTTGATGAATATGGTGATGAAGTTATTTTAGGTTTATTGTGAAATTTTGGTTTCAATGCTATATTGAATACATTTTTAATTTCAAAT